ATGTTGTCCTTGGTTGTTTAAATTAGACGTCTTTGTTGGTACAACGAGAATGAGTTTATTATGGGCAATGCAATGAGATTTGTGGAACTAATCATGTCCTTATCCATGCGCCCGGAAACAAAGGCCGACTGCTGAGCCCACCCTAGCTCATCCGCACCACCCAAGGGTGTGAGTCACCCGAGAAACAAGCTATTACAGCGAACAATTGGAGTAGTATGGAGCCGAGGAACAAGGTAATAGATAAGATAGAAGAATGGGCCTAGCTCTCGGTGAAACAGAGGAGATGGTTAAGATAACAAACTTGAAATCCAAAAAAGTACAACGGTAAAAATTGATACAATTTTCATTTATTTTATTCAAATATTATAAAATTTATTTAAATTTTTTTTTTCACACAAAAATATTAACTCAACCAACACATTCTCCATTGTTAAACAACTCAACCAATCCATATCTTCTCTCTTTCCTAACTGTCTTTTATTTTTTTTTCTTTACTTTAATTTTAAATTATATAATTAAAAAAATAAATTGGTATTTAAATTACAAAATATTGTACGATTAATGTTCAATTTTTAATATTATAGAGTCTCTTCAGACACGAATTACTGTTAATATTATATATACAATGTAGTCACGGGCATGTAAAAAAAAATGTGCACTAAGAAAGTCATTAGACCTTTTTACCCTTGCACATGACATTAGACAGTTTATGGACAAAGGTCATAAGGGTCTTAGTGGAATACAAAAAATAACCAAGTTGGTAGAGCAATAAGAGCTGGCTAAGGTTGTCAGCATGGTCAACGCAACATATATAAATTATAACTTCTGATATAGTTGGTAATGGACCGTTTTGGTCAGAATAAGCTTAAAATAAACCCGACCCACAAGGTATCCATAATTAATTATACAAAACGTAGAGAATTTTTTATTATTTATTTCAAAAAAATCCAATATCGAGGAGTTTTTCAATTCATATATGATTTTTAAAAATATTGTTCACGCCGACATCTTCTAGGCTTTATAAACAAGGGAATCTATCTGTGTGGTGAACTGTGCTTCCTCAAGACTCATTTAAAATGACGATTGTTTAAAAACACTTGGNAACATGTCAGCCCATGACTAGACTTTCATTTTTGTTGTCTATGAAGGGGACCTTAGTGGTTGCACATCAATGGAGGATTTTCTTGAGTTTGGCTCACCTCCACCAACTTTTATTTGAGTGATTCTCGTTAAAGCACGGATACAGATTCACTCTAATACATGAATTATCACGAGTTACTTGAGATACTCTAGGACTGAAATGCTCCTATGCAATCTTGTTCTTTCTCTCTTTTTTGGTTAATCACACTTTACTAAAATTTGGGCATTAAACATAAAACGCGTAACTTACATTGAAAGTCACCCATTATGAAGATAAGTGAAAATATTATGTTCAATCGAATATCTCTTTAATATACAGTAGATACTCGAGAATAGAGAAAACTTAGTATTGAAGTGAATCGTTGAATATTGTTTTCTTTTTTTATATAAATATAAATTAATATTAATGAAAATGAGGGGTACAAAAAGTATAATCAAACNCAATGCAAACTTAAATCACACATAATTAATTAGCTATAACACATATACATCGATTAAAATAAATATATGCATGAAAAAACACTCGAATGTAAATGCTAATTAATTCGTATGCCAAAAACACACGAACACAAATGCTAATTGTCCAAACCATAGCACATGGGTTCGAGTTGAAAATGAGTCTATCTGAAAAATAGATAAGGTTGTTTATCACTTATTTTCAAATTTTCATTATATGCGAGAGGCTTGTGAACTTGGAATAATTTTTTTTTTTATTGTATTCAAATATTCTGATATTTACACCCAATTTTAGGGTAAAAGATTACAAAATAGCCAGTAGCCCATGGGCTGCCCTGTTAATCTACCTGCCATTGGACCATGGTTGACCTGTTCCATCTTGTGGTGGTCCAATGGTTCAACATTAGGGTCATGTGTTGTGTTTTTAGCCCTGTAAGATTCACCAAGTTGACCCTTATGAAATCCATCGTCTTAACCCATGAACCAATCCATTATCCCATCTTATTTAAACACTGGTAATAACCTTGAATTTAACAATGCATATCCAGAAACCAGTGACAGAGCCAGAAAAATATTATTGGCTAGTCGGCTCGGCCCATCATCGACCCTAATCGGTGCACAACTCTTTTGGGATGAGTTGTGTACATTGGAGTTTAGTCAAAATTTCAAAGGCCAAAGTAAAGGGAAGTTATGTAAATCCTTCCACCAAAAGTTTCTACTGGTATATGGTTTTGAGCTAAGAGCATCTTTGACACTTAATCTTTTTTAAACTTAATTTTAAATTTGAATAAAAAATTCTTAGAACCTTCTGCAATATTATACTTAAATCAATAATTAAAATTTCATTTTGAAACATCCAAAAAAATTTTATTTTTAAAGAGACCGAAATGAATCAATGATGGAATCGAAATTCTAATATTTCGAGATATTCCATAATGTTTTAAGATGTTTTGTAATATTTCAATACATTTGTACAATTATTTTAGAATGTTTCAAAGTATTTCAATATACTTTGATGTTTTTTGACAAATGTTTTAAAAAAATATTTCTTAAATTTTTTATTTTTTTCATTATGTTTTCAAAATTGGTCAAAACTGATAAGCCAAAATTTGACTGGGTCTAGGCCCAATTCACGAAGTAAACCAAATTAGCTACAAAGTAAGTCAAGTCCAGCTCATGAATCCGGTCTAGTCCAAAGCTCAAGGGGTTCAAAAAGATCAATGTACCTGGGAGAATAATTATTAGGGTAGCTACTCTCGAAGATCACACCTATCTTTATTTATACCTATCTTTAACTGTAATTATCCACTCCGAAAGACTATATATCTCTTCACGTCACCGCCTCAACTAAAGTTATGTTCCTATAAATTATAAGTCTTCTACACATGAGGGGTACATCTCCACACCTAGAACGAGCTTTTGTTCCCTTTCTCTCTCACCTGGTATCTTATCAATAAAGTCTTTCGGCTATTGTTATCGCTTTCAAAGTGAAGTAGGTCACCATGACCGAATCACTCTATATTTTGTGTGTTGTCTGTGTTGATTTCACATTTATATTTATTGCATTTATTATCCATATTAATTACTCGATAACTGGTGCATAAATCCACTTTTATGCATCATCAAAAAATTTTCTGAAACACGTTGAAATATTTTTATTTTCTAAGTGACCAAAACAATACAACGAAATGAAAATTTTGATCCTTAACTCAAAAACATACCAAATTAATAGAGAATCAAATCAAGAAAAACTCAAACAGTTACTCAAACCATCTATAGTTAAATTTCATTATCTTTTAAAAATCTAATGATCATATTCTATATTTCATTAAATTTTGGTTTGTCCTCATTTAAATTGGAATTTATTCTCTTTTAACTTTGAGTTTTTTTATTTGAGTGTTTTGTATTAAATCAAGTTTTTTAGTCAAATGTTAACTCAAATTTAAGTCAAAATTAAAAATGGTGCTACAATTAAATATAATTTTTTGAAACATATTCTCTNAATGTTAACTCAAATTTAAGTCATAATTAAAAATGGTGCTACAATTAAATATAATTTTTTGAAACTTATTCTGTACTTGTCCGACTATTACTGAATAATTTTTTGATATTGATCAAATCTCTGCCAAAAGGTAAAGTTGATGTGGTCGATTTCTATCGCCAAAAAAAAAAACTTTCATTGGCTTTATTTTATTATAGAGAGAAATTTTCATTGAAAATGAATTAAAGGATGTGATTAACCTTTATCTTAGCATTGGTAGACATAACATAGCTTTTTTTTTTTTTTTTGGAATTGGGATAACATAGCTTAAATAACTGTAATTTAATGGATTTTATTGGGCAAATTTATGTGAGGTAGACCATCTTTAAGAATGTTGGTGGAATCCACGTGACTCAATCTACGACTTTGCTTCAATTTCACGACCCCTCCTACCAACAAAATTATAAAGAAGGGTTAACTATATGTTTAGCCATCGAATAATATTATGTGTCAATTAAATTTATATATTTTATGTCAATTTAATCAATTAATTATGTAATCCGACTCAATATAGTTTTGTCTAAATTTATCGTTCATTTTGACAAAAATTTATATCACGTGACCCTTGAATTATAACTTAATCTATAACTCGTGATGTACACACGAGAATTTTTGTCAAAATTAACGATAAATTTTTACGAAAGAGTCGTATTGAATCAAATTGTATAGTTTAATGTTCTGTTTGGTAGGAAGAATGAAAAGTAAGAAGGATAAAAGTAGAAGAATACACTTTATATCCTTCAAGGATGGAAAGAAGAAATGATACATTTTATTTCCTTTGTGTTTGGTTGAATGGATGAAAAATAAAAATGACTAATTTTTTTAATTTTTTTATTGTGCTGGCTAAGATGAAGGGTGACAATCGAGTCGTGTAGTATCAGATTCGTGTTGAGTCATAAAATTATGAGTCTTTTATATTTCTTGTTCGCATATCAATTCATTTTTAAGTTCGTATCAAGTTATAATTAAGTTTGTGTCATAAAATTCGTTTTATATTTTATCATTGTATTTTTATATGAAATTAATATGTATATAATATATAGACAAATAAGATATATCTCAATCAAATAATTAATTTTCTATTCACTTTCCTTTCGATTTTGTACGGATTAATTTTGGTGAATTAAAAGAAAAGTTAATTCATTCATTTTTTTATCTTTCCTATTTTTTTTTCTTACCAAACATGATGATTTATTTATTTTTCAAACTTTTTACCATTCTAATTTTTTACCCTTTTATTTTTTCATCGTATCAAACTAAGCATAAGAGTTAAATTGATATAAAATATAATTTAAGGGTGATATAAATGATATATGTGAAGGGTCTATAAATAAAATAAAAATATATCAAAATATTTATTCTCTGTGTGTGTGTCCTGTCTTGGAGTGAGGGAGAGAGGTTGGCCATGGAAGACGAAGGCAACACCGGTGAATCACCACAACAAGAACATCAACATATCAACGGGTGGGCCTCAATTGCATGGACCCACTTATCGTATGTTCGCCAAAATTCGCCGTTGATTCAATGCATCACAAACTTCGTGTCAATGGATCTGATGGCCAACACACTCTTATCCGCCGGAGCATCGCCCGCGATGGTGCACTCGCTGCAGGAAATCCCGGACTTTACCCCGCATGCCCACGCACTATGCATTAACGTCGGAACACTCACCGCCGACTGGCTACCGGCAATGAAGAAGGCTGCCGAGGTGGCCAATCAGTCGAACAAGCCTTGGGTTCTCGACCCAGTTGCCGCCGGAGCTTCTGGGTTCCGGTTGAGGGCTTGTCTTGAGCTGGTTGGGTTGAGGCCTAGTGTGATTAGAGGGAATGGGTCGGAGATCATAGCCCTTTCCAAGGCTTCTGTGGGACCCACTAAGGTAAAGATGTGAAATTGTTGCTTACTGCGTATAGCTTAATTGCATCCCCAATTTGATGTGCTGTGTGTGTGTGTGGGTGTGTATATACAAGTCGTATTTGTTGATGTTTGGTTGATGATATAGTGCTATTTAGAGTATAATTTGGGGCAAACATTGATCCATATACATAATGAACTGTTGGTTCTAAGCCATCTATTGCGATTAATCAACAATTCGAAGTGCTTTTCTTTCGTACTCTTACTATGAGTTGGTGTTCTATAGAGTATGATGATGCTTGAAGAAGCTGAAGGGGGGTTCCTGGGTTTGGGAGTTGTTAAAGTTTAAGGTCTTTGTTCTGATGTCTGTATGTGGAATATATCATGCCAATATATTTCAAAATAAGGTTTAAATGAATTCATAATTTTGTATGCCCAGGCCTTTTTCTCCTTTCTTGTTATTTTTAATGGTTCAAGGCATGTAAGAATCGAACTCCTAACCATACCTCTGCCCTTAATAGATGCCAATTACACTTTATGACGTTGGTACACTTGGTGTAAATTTGTGACATTGTTTTAGATAAATTTCTTTGGTTGACTATTGTGTTTAAGGTAGGTGGTTGATGATCCAAAAGTGATATTACTCCAATTATTATTGCTAGCAGTTTAATAATTATGGCTATGAATCCATATCAGACGGCCAACTTGTATGATATTATGCTACTTTACATAACAAAATGATTTTTCATACATATGTGATGTTTGATTTCATTAAATTAAGCTCACTCAATTCAGTTTCAAACTGCCCCCACTAGTTTATACTGAATTTGTGGAGCAAGATTATGGGACATGGTTTTGGTGTGAGTGCGACGATAGGGTTTAAATGTGTTTGACCCATATGATAGGAATGTATACATGTTTGACAAATTAACTACCTATAAAATACCTTGCGGAAGGGTCCTGTGTGTATTATTATATGACTTGTGTGCCCTATTTTGCTTTGTTGACCTAGAAGTTCAATTTCTCTGAGTACTGCTGACAAAAAAGATTGATAAAACTCTGTTTGGTCATTTTTAGCCCGAAAGAATCAATTTCAGTCACTTCGTATGACACCAGTATATAAAAAAAAGTTTATTCAGTAATGGACAACTCAAGCACACCCTTGATATGCAAGATTACTTGGTGATATTTGACTAAAGGCACCCTGGTATACTACCAAAACCTTTTCTTCTCAGTCAGAAACTAACACTTCGTAATGAACTTCTAATTAAAAGTTCATCTTTTTAGTGCTTAGCGGATATCCTATCTTGTCCGGATAATTTGATCAAGAAACCTATTTGGCATTGTCAGGACTGAACCTTGGTGCGGGGGTGCCCCTTAAATTCCAGCACTTTCTCTTTGGCATTTCTAGCAAAAATTTGTAATCCCAAATGGACTGATTGAGGAAGCAGCAACCTTGGAAAACATTCCCTGTGATCATTTGAGACATTCCTAAAATTACGTATGCAACTTTTCCCCTTATTTTCAAGATGGCGGCCATCCTCTTAAATGGATTTCTAATCAAGATGATAGATTGCTTCATTGAGATGCCATGTAGATTGTCGATGCTGGCATCTAAATACATTATACAAACACACCCATTGTAACCCCATGTATTCAGTATGGTTTGAGATCTTTTGGATATCATGACCAAAATCTGCTGAAGAACCAACTCAATCTTGTATTATTTAGTTTCTTTTTAAAACAATTCAATTTTAATTACGTCACATTTATTGCAACTTGAAATTTTCTCTTTTGGTTCCCAAGGGTGTAGACAGCACCCATGAATCAACAGATGCTGTGGAAGCAGCAAAGTCCTTGGCTCTGGCAAGTGGAAGTATAGTTGCAGTTTCAGGAGCTGTTGACATTGTTACAGATGGTCAGCGAGTTGCTGGTGCACAAAATGGAGTGGCGATGTTGCAACAGATTACAGCGACAGGATGCTCTGTCACTGCTCTCATTGCAGCCTTTGTTGCAGTTGATCCATTACATGCCTTCGAGGCAACGGCTTCTGCATTGTCCATATTTGGTATTGCTGCAGAGATAGGAATGGACGTAGCTAAAGGTCCGGCCTCATTGCGGATGCACTTGATTGATTCACTTTATGGGCTCGATCAAGCTACCATACTTCACCGCATTAACATCACTTTCTTGTCATGATGCATTAGAAGAAATATGAATTGTATGTCAATAATAATTGCACCAATTTGAGCCGTGCATAATGCTCTTATATCGAGCAAGAGCAACATATACATCAGCTGACATGTTAACCCTTATGCCTCTTGTATATTACTTTGAAAATGATAGTGACCTTGATGTCTTTTGGTGGCTGAAAAAAACTTTCGTACCATTTCACAGTTTTTCTTTATTTGCCATTGGATTTTGGCTTGCAAGTTGTACACTTTCTTGTGAAACAGAAAACTTCATCGCTGAACAAATATTTAAGCAAACAACAGATTTGAACGTTTGCTTAACAAAGTTTTCTTATCAACTTGGTTGGCCCTTTTCTGCTCTCGTTTGTATGTATTATAATATCAGGAGAAGTTCCTGAGTATCATTGGATGATTCTGTAACCGCAGTCTTAGGGTTGTAAGAAATATCCAGAGATCATAACATTTCATGTGTAACACTATCACTCTTTTCGTTTGATTGCTAAGGATGGTTGCTAAAATAATGTTATACCTGTATGTAGCTTCAATGGACCATTGTTAAGCATTTCAACTTTGTTTTCCTGGTGAATGGCCTAGTACTTTATCTTGGTTGTCTGTCCATGAATTGGAGTTGAGCTGCAGAATTTGGTACATGACTAAAGTCTTAAATCTTTCCTTCCAAAAGTTATACTACTGTCTGGGTGTTCTTGGTCCGGTGGTTATAATTTCATCTGGAAATTTTTCACTCGGTAGTCAGTTTCTTCATTCATGTGCTCTTTGGCCTTCACCTTCCCCTCCCCTTGGATCACCTTGAACTCCATTCACTTGCACGCTCTAATTCTCTTCCTTCATACCAATATTGATACTGTAAAGTAGCATATCTACCATTATGAATGCAGCAGTGAGTTACAGTAGTAACTCATCACTTTAGCCATCGATTTACATGAAATATCTTCCTTTTTCATGCTCTATTTAGTGGATGATCAAGTTGAGGCACCAGATATGAAAATGTTGTCTATGATGTTTTGACCTTAAGATAGTCTTATATAGAACTTTCTTTGATACACTTCTTGGCTAGCTGTATGGGAATTATTCGCTCTTGATTCCCTTTATAAGTTGAACTCAAGCTGATACCCACATGGAAATTGGATGAATAGATAGGAATACCCATGTCAGTGACCTAGTCGTTTCAGATGCGCTTTTGATAGAGAGTGACAACTCCTTGATCCCTAATATGTTTGGCAAAGTTGTCTCACCGGCCAGAGAGTCATTGATTGGCAAACCCCTTTTTCTGTTGTTGTGTGGTGGGGCCTGGGGCCTGGGGTTTGGAATCTTTGAGACTACTTGAGATTCTTGTTACCCAATTAGGGGAATAAGGTTTGTGATGAAAAAAAGAAAAAGAAAAAGCCTCAAGACTCTAATTTCATAGCTCCGGATGCAAAATTACGACTCATAAGTCTATAAAAACTAAAAACCTGGTGATCAATTAGTAGTTTTGTTCAGGTTGCAATACAGTTGCTTCAATAAATTCTGTGATTTGCATACTTCATGAATTCTCCAAAGCTTGCTGATTGCTTTTTGTTTTCTTGCACTGTTTTTTGTGTATGAGATTTTGTGTTTTTTCTCTCTCTTGGCTATTTTTTAATCTATTTATTTTGTCTTACTGGGCATATGATCTCTTAGTTCCATACTGGATTGAATGTTTCCTTTTCATGTCAGGCAACAATCTGATTCATTACAGTGACACAGTGAAACTAAAACCACCCAACATTCCTTTTCACTGAATTTGCATACCCCTTTGTGATTCGGACAATAGAGCATATCTCAGTGGCTAAGATGGACTGTTGTCCTCAGCAATGTCTCTGCACCATCTGTGACAAGCTGGCCTGCTGGGATAAGGGACCGCATTTCCGCAAATCCACAGGCATTCTTAAACTTCCCGGTCCCTCCAGTCACTGACAGACGAGACATTGTGCTCCCGATCTTGTACACTTCGAAGAAGTTGAGGCTATCTCCGTATTCCCCTCCTTCCATCATAGCTGTGAAGGTCATCATCTGTGTACTCCCATCTGCAGAGCTTGCAACATACACCCCTTGGGCTTTCCCCAGTGGCTGTGACCCCAACTCCGGGGCCGAGGTTAGGATGTCGTCGATGACGGTGATAGTTCCGAACCCAAGTCCCAATCCATCTGGTCCTAATTGGGTGGTTATTGTATTCCCATTGTTGTTTGCACCATTGGGGAGTCCTGCAAATGTTGTACCTGCTAAGCCACTGCCCAGAGGAATTCCGTTAAGATTAACAGTTGGGAGGGCACCGTTGGCATTCGGAATGGCTACTCCATCTTTTGGGGGGAGGAACCCGACCGGCCTAGCGAAGGGCACTTGGCCACTGTAGATGTTTCCGAGCAAGCCAGTGATTGGCCTCGCTGTGGGGTTGCTGCCACCAAGAATGTCATGCATGTATAACTCGAGAACCGGTTCTGTGCCTGCTGTTGAAGGATCAACTGCTGTGGCAATTGTTGCTGCTTGCACAACTGCAATTAGCATTGCAAGAAACATGGACGATGATGATGCTGATGTTTTCTTGAACATTTCAAAATGTGTGTGCGCGTATGTTTGTGTGTGTGTGTGTGTGTGAGAGAGAGAGAATGCTTCTTGGATGAATATGCAAATGGACTCTAGGCATGCTCTTTATGGTAGAGAATACCACAACAAGATGGAGCTGTTGTGAGACTCAAGGTGGTAAAGTTGTTGGAGAGAGGTGGGTACAACAAAATCACAAATATGAAAACTGTGCGTGCACGATCCTGTACAATATAAACACGAGAACAGATCTCTTTCGTGGTGAACATGTGTCTGTCAATCGAGTGATCGATCTTGTTACTTGGAATAGGTTGTGAGGGTCAAAAGTGGCCAATGAAGTGATGACAAACTGTTTTTAAGGGTTGCCTGAGCGATCCTGGAAGTTTAAGGGATGTTCCTGGAACAAAGAAAAACAGGTTAGAAGGGCGTTGGAGTGTTTTTCGACGTATCCTCTCCGACGATCAAGTCAGTTCTTTGAGAAAGAGGAAGAAGAAAACAGAGAGTTTGTTGCGTACTTCTTTTTCTGTGTTTGTGAGGACTATTTATACCTTAAAAACTCATCATTATTGACAGCGTAGCTAGTAGGTAATCATTGGAGGTGGGCAGTTTGCACACCAATTTCTATGAGTAAAGTTCTTATTCTTAACTGCTCGGGACCCCGAGCAACTAATGCTTTCTCCGCGGTCTGTCGAACGTTTAATGATCTTCCCTCGACGAGGGTGTATTAAATGTCGAGGCTTTGGGACATTTATTATATTTCACTTCCAAGCTCTCTGCATTAAATGTCGTCTCATCAAGGGAAGAGTGCATTAAATACTTTCTTTCCCAAGTCGTGTGTCAGCAAGGGCATTCTGGTCTTTTTGTCTCTGATCTGACACAATACGCCACGTGCCCATTATCCTTTGGTTGAGCCATCTGCTTTCTTGTGCCTCCTGACACCATTTGAGTAAGACGAGGTCATGATGGCTAGTCTAGCCTAGCCTAGGCTAGTGATCTGTCCATCAATAGCCCCTACAAGAGCAGAAACGCCCACGCAGATAGATACACCTCGGTGCCGAGGGACTAACATGATTTATGACCGATATACCCAAACTGCCAAGGAATACGTGTCGGTCCATGGTGGGTTGGGGATCCTTTATCCCTGTGAATAGCATCCTCGGGGCAGGGGGGTTGGAAACCGACAAAGACGTGTCGGGATCAGAGCGGGAGAGTTTCCATTGACGCCGAGTACACGTGTCATCATCTGAGAGTGTCTGGAAATGTCTCATCAACTGCCCCCCGGCGTTCGATCTTCTGACGCCGAAGACACGCGTTGTAAGGAGACGAAGAGTTCTACAACTGCCCCAACCACTCCATCATTGTTTCCAACCGTTTTTCGCCGTTTAGGAGGTCGTGCGCATTAAATGCGCCTTTTCGTGCCTAATGATGGAGATAGGTACTATATAAACGAGCTCTCTCTCTCTCTCTCTCTCTCTTTCCCACACTTTTGTCATTTCGAACTCTCAGAGCTTTCACCTGAAACCTCGCCAGAGACCCCGCTTTGTCACGTAGTCTACCAATCAGTCGTCACCGGAGTTTAGACCAACAAACCCCCTCTTGCTTCTGAACCTTCTCGAGAAAGGAACCACTCCAAGTCCTTCAGAAACCTTCGTTCGCGTTCTGGTGAGTCCTTGCATCTTCCTTCTTTTCGTCTTTCTGGGTTTTTGTTTTTTATTCTCCGGTAACCGGAGGTGTTTCTGGTTGTCATTGTGTGACCAACCCTCAGGAAACCCCTTGGGGATCTTCGTAGAAAAACTTTTTCCTTCCTCTTCAGTTTTTATCTTATTTGGAAATGCCCCCACGTCGCCCTGCCACCGAGGATCCCCATGCCAGTTCCTCGAGGCCAGGGAAGTACAAAGAGAAGGGAGACGAGCAGATCAATAGGTTTAGGGCCCGATACCGTATCCCCCCAAACGTAGGTATAGAGGAGTACGACCTAACTTTGCATACCTGTAATCTCGGGGCCGAGGATGAGATGTTCTTTTACACCAAAGCCATCATAGAGGGTGGAATAAAGTTCCCTCTGCCCCCTCTACTCCTCCAGTTCTTCTCTCATTTCCACCTCTTTCTCGGGCAGTGTTGTCTTAATGTCTTTAGGATAATAATAGGGGTCCTAGAGCTTAATAACTGTCTCGGAGTAAACGTTGGGATCAACGATATCCTTTTCTGCTACTCCTTGTTGAGGGTCATGCCCCAGTAGAACTTCTAACTCAAAGCCAGGGATCTGTCCATGTACCTTGTAACTCACCTCCTTGACTCGGACAAAGGATACAAGGATGACCTTCTGATCTTTAGTGGATCCTAGTAGCGGGGGACCGGTCCCGAGAATAGTGATCTGATGTGCCCTTTTGAATGGAGAATGAAAAGTACGTCGGCTTCTCCGAGTCTACTGTTTTTGTCCTTGAGATTTTTTAGAAGTGTTAATAATCTCCTTTCTTGTGCAGACGTCTCTGCCCGGGAAGTCGCTCCTCCCCCTCGGTCCTTGGTAAACTTTGCTGACCTCGTCACTGTTTGGAAATTTGTTGGCGACATCGGGTTAGGTCGGGCGGCTCACCTTCTTCTGAACTACACAGCAGGGTACAAAAAGTTTTCACAGCTCCCCCAGCCTTTCGACTCTTTGTGGTGGTCTGAACTCTTCGATCAGACTGCTCAACAAGAGGTCGAGCAGAACTTGGAGGAAGACCCCGACAGGGCTATTAAGGCGAAAGTAGAGGATGCCCTTGAAGTTGAGGAGTTTGGGGCCAGAGAGGCTTTGGTTCCTTCGCACGCCGAGGTGGGGACTTTAGGGAGAAATTCGTGGCCTGACTTCCACATCCTTCAGTCCCTAAACGAAGAGGACGCCTTCGAGGTAGCCATGTCTCACATAGACCTGGGAATCCTGAGGCAGAGGTAGGCCCTTGCCGCCGGGAGAGGACCGGGGTCAACCAATAGTGCCCCATCAACAGGGACCAGCGCCAACCCCCCACCTCCAAGGGCCGCTAGTCGGGGTCAAGTGCGCGACTGAGATCCTCAAGTCGAGGAGGAGAGGAGGACCAAACAAAGGCACGACGGCCCAGATAGGGGATCCAGGGCCCTCTCCGCTCAACAGCAAAGCGGGAAGGGCCGTGGGTTACCCCCTCCACCTTAATAGCAACAACAGCAGCAGAGACAAACTCCACCTCCCCCTCCGCAGATGGTGGAAGCTACAGAGTGAAACCCTCGAGCTATTGATCATATGAACTGGGTGATTAAGGTCGACGATTTCATTTTGCAGGACCCTCATGTCGCCAACGCAGTGAGCGAGAGGCTCTATTTCGAGGCCGACATGGAGGCTCACAAGGGGCGGACAACGAACACGTTGTTCCATTCCATCATTCAGAATTCCTTGGTGGTAAGTTCATCTTTGCTTCAGCCTTTTCTTGTTGCATCACCTATAATTGACCAAGTTCTTTCCCTTGCAGGCCACCTAACAAATTTTCATAATTGCTGCTCGATATCATGTAGCTAGGATGGACCTCCAACGGACCCAGGAGCAGAAGGAAAAAGGTTGAAGGAGCCCTGGTCAGTGCTAAGGAGGACGTGGCTGCTAGGGACTCCACCCTTGCGGGGCAGGCTGCTCAGATTGAGCAACTCCTCAAGGACAACGAATTGGTGAAGGTCAATGCTGAAAAGCTAAGTACTGCCTTGGTCGACGCTGAGAGGAGGATTACACAGTAGACGCAGCGGCTCTCTATGGCCGAAGAGAGGGCCGTCGGTTCAGAGAAGAGCTGTCTGGCTCTGACCCAGGAGCTGGACAAGGTCAGGACAAAAGCAAAGAATAAGAAGACTGAAGAGCAAATTCGAGAGGAGTTTGTCGATGACTTACTACCCGCCCTCAAGGAGAACAACAAAGAGTTCTTCAAAAAGGGGTGGGATGAGGCGCTCCGAGCCGCCAGCGTCCTTCCAGATGCACAACTACGTGCCATCGACGGAGATGGCGTAGGCCGAGGTCGAGGTTGCTGCTGAGGGTGTGGCCCTAATGTCGATGCAAGCTTTGGCAGACCCACCTAAGGTGATAGTTCTCATCCCATCCGATGAGGCCCTGCCAGAGACGGCCCCTTCTGCCCCCGATTCCAACATTCCTCAGACCCTACCTGTTATTGATTTTGCCCTAGCCCCTGAAGCTGCTCACCCCTTCTGCGTTGATTCTCCTTACAGTGATGTGTTGGAGATGCTCGGGGCCAGATGAAACTTCTTTTTTCTTTTTTCGAACTATACTTTTGCATTTGAATATGTATTTTCCTTCCTGTCCTTGTAGTTCTCGAGGACACAAAGTCCCGCTTTTTGAAATGAATAGCTCCTCTTTCACTATTGAGCACTTGCATTTTTTATTGCTCCCCCTTTTTTTTTACACCGATGCTGCAGTAATTATTGGTATCAAAATATCTTTATAGCTCTGACACTCAGGGAGCAATTTGGTTGATCCGCCCCCTCGGGGTAGTGTCCTCCCCAGGGGTTTGTTTCTCGAACTGCCTTGATCGTCTTGCCCTCCCAGGAGGCTTGCTCCTGATTTTTCTTCGGAGGCAGAAGTCCTTGAACTCTGCCTCCAGGGCCTTACCCCTTCAGAAGGTTTGCTCCTGATTTTTCTTCAGAGGTAGGAGTCCTTGAACTCTGCCTCCAAGGTCTTGCCCTTTCAGGAGGCTTGCTCCTGATTTTTCTTTGGAGGCAGGAGTCCTTGAACTCTGTCTATAGGGTCTTACCCTTTTAGGAGGTTTACTCCTATTTTTCTTTCAAAGGTAGGAGTCCTTGAACTCTGCCTCCTGGGCCTTGCCATTTCAGGAGGCTTGCTCCTGATTTTCCTTCGGAGGTAGGAGTCCTTGAACTCTGCCTCCAGGGCCTTACCCTTTGAGGAGGATTGCTCCTGTTTTTCTTTCGGAGGCAGAAATCCTTGAACTCTACCTCCAAGGCCTTACCCTTGTGATACTGTCATTGATGATATTATCATTAATAAG